CGGGCGGCAGAACCGGCCCCCGGCTCGCCCCGACGGTGCCTCGGAGCCCCGAGGCGGGGAGTGGACCCCGGCCCGACCCCGGCCCGGCCGCGCTCCCCGCCGGCGCTCCGCTCCTCGCAGCCGCCGTATCTTTTAACAGTTGAATTGACTGCAGTTTTTGTCAGTTAATTAGGTTTAATTTACATAATTAGTACAGTATAAAGAGTATTGGGGATAATCAGGAGGTACGTCTCGCTTACTGTGTAAACACGGATTCGGAATTAAAAATCAGATGTAATTAAGGCGTGTGCGCGCGGCTTTTAATTGTAATGAATTTCTAATTAACGCTCAACGATCGCCGCGCGCGAGAGCCGGGACGTTTGCGGGCGCCGCCGCCCCCCCAAACCGGGGACCCCCCCGGGGACCCTCCCGGGGCCAGGGGGCGCGGAGGGGCCGCGGCCGGCGGGGCAGGCGCTGCGCCCCGACAGGACCCCCCCATCCTTCCCTGCTCCCCGGGCCGGTGCCGCTGGCAGACGAAGCCGGTGGATAATTTAGGTTAAAACTTAGGGAGCCGTGTCACGGGTGTATAAATAAATAATCACGCGTGGCGGGCGCGGAAGGCCCCGCGCTCCTGGAGGGCTGAGCCGAGATTGCCACATAAATCACGGCGGTCTAATTCAGTGGAAGTTTAATAAACGCCTCCTATTGGAAATGAATGTTCCCCATTTAACAGTTGTATCAGCACCATATAAAACCATGACCCCAATAAATTTAATTTTAGAGGCCGATCAATCCGGGCTTCTCTCCATCGATCCGCGGCGGCTCTGAGCCTCCGCAGCCTCTTCCGCGGCCCTTCCCGCCGAGGCGGGGGAAGGAGCGTTTCGATTAGACTCTTTATTAGGAAAAGATTGCTCCGAGAGGCCTGAAAATTAAACGGTGACATTTTAATTACTGGACATTGACAAAGGGAGCGGGCGGCGGCTCTGCGGGCCGGGCACACTCCGCCTGACCCGGCGTGCGGAGCCCCCGCGGGGCGGGCGGGGACGGGCAAGGGGGGAGGAGGATCGGGACCCTCCGGAGCTCCTGCCGTGCGACCCCCGGGGAGCCTGCGGGATCCTCTGGGTGCCCCCGGGGCCCCTTCCCGGTGCCCAGGATGTGTATCCCTGGCCCCTCAATGCACCCCCTCTGTGCTCACCATCTCTCCCATCGGGTACGCCCCAGTCCGTGCACCCCAGCTCTCCCCCATCTATGCACCCCAGCTCTCCAAGCACGTTTTCCCCCCTCTGTGCACCCCACAACACCCACCGTGCCCCCTCCCCCAGACTCCACAACGTGCACCCCTTGATGTGCCTCAGCTCC